ACTTAAAAATTAAACGCGTTTTGGCATGCCAGATCTGCGAATAAACCTCCTATCGTGTGGGAAAAAGGAGAATGACAGTCACCTTCGATTGACAAAACCGCACCGAACTGTATATAATCCAAGAAAATAATGACGAATGGCAATTCAGTACCATGTGACTACAAACGGCAGAACTAGACACTGAGTGAACTGAAATATCTGCACCGAAGACGGGCCATCTACACTTCAAGGATCTCCAAGCAGGGTTCAAGAGAAGCACCATCAATGGTGTGACCATCGAGTCAGCCAGAGGAAATTTCAAATGCTGAAGTTTGTATCCAGGAAAATGACGAAAACTCTGTGTGCACAGCACAGCACAAATAATCGCAGAAAGAATAATAAACCCACATATCGAGGAAGCGTTTTCCTTAGGCCTTAAAAAACTCTTGAAGGACTGAAGGTTACTAAAGTCTTAAAAAGTATTAAAAACCTTTAAAAGACTGTTATAAAGCTCAAGACGTATTAGAAACTCCAATAGGAATTGTCGGGGCTGTTGTAGATCTTAAAGCTAATGGGCAACTTTGTAACAAACTTAGCGCTCAGTCTCTAAATCCCTGGAAAGACTCGATAGTATTTAGCAACCCTTGGCAACTCGAATCAAACTTAAGTAGTTTCGTGTAACGTCCCTTAAGACCCTAAAATGAAATTGCCTAGATTCTAGAAGAGTCTAGATCCTTTAAAATTTTCCTTTGATTACTTCGCCCAATGAAAATAATACGTGAATCATCCACAATATAATAAATTTGTGATAGTAAGCATTGAATTCTAAATAGATAAAAAGAGATAACAAAAATTATTACTTGCCGTATTTTGCTCCTATTTTTAAAAATCACCCTTGAAAATTCGGTTTACGGAAAGGTCACCTTAGACCCCTTCCAACAAATGGCAGCTCGAAATATTCGCTTTTCAGAAAAACTCCACGCGTTTGCGCATACCGTAATATTCCCCACATAAATATGCGCCTCATAACAAACTCCTCTAGCGGAAAATTTTCGCAATTGCCTCAAATACAGATTTTCTCGAAAATCTCTTACAAAAGCTCGCCCTTATTCACCTTCCAAGAAAACTCACCACGTGCAAAATTCAAACAATATTTAATTACCCTTTTCCTGTCTAGGAAACTCCCTAAAAAATGTTTTCTTCGCAATATTCTAGTCACATGCTTTTAAAAAATTTTCTTCATACCTCATAATCCGTAGAAAATATGCCTTCGAAGTGTACCTAGGAATTTTAACAGAGCTATAATAAAATTTTCCCCGTTGGCCTGCATTGTTAAAGCGTCCTAGAACAGCTCCAAAAAACATCCTTATTGGAGGTTAGTTGCTAGAGAGAATCTTTTTTGAATATTCGTAGAATTTGCTTTAAATAAATCCCTAAGAAATAACTAATAAATGGTTCGCGAACCATACTTTTTCACTGTTTACTATCTCTCTTTTT